CAGGCCCTCGGGCAGTGCCCGAGTTTCCAAATGGTCAGTCCGCCACTGTGCAGAAGCATTCATGTAAGTTGGGTGAACTGTCATTGTATTTCTTTGCAACAAAGAGCCTGCCTGCTCACAGTTTTTTGTTGGAGACTTTAGTTCCCCATTAAATTATCAATGATGCCCATAGTACAGTGGCTTAGTGGTTAGCACATCTGCCTTGTAGTAAATGGGTCATGGGCTTGATTCCTGACCATGGTGCCTCCTGCATGGAGTTTGCATGTTCTCCCTGTGCTTGCGTGGGTTTCCTCTGGGTGCTCTGGTTTCCTCCCACACTACAAAGACATGCTAGTAGGTGAATTGGCTCCTGTGTAAATTGTCCCTAGTATGTGTATGTATGAATGTAAGTTAGGGACCTTAGATTGTACACCCCTTGAGGGTTAGGGACTGATGTGAATGTACAATATATATGTAAAGTGCTGTGTAAATTGACGGTGCTATATAAGTACCTGAAATAAATAAATAGTAACCCAACAGGTCTCAGCTGTGCCTTTTCTAATGCAGGCTAGAAAATAAAAGATGCATCTGATTGGTTGTTATCAGCATCACCTCTTTCTTTTGCCACCTCCCATTTCCACACTAAGCCCCGGTTCACATATCTGCGTTCCTGCGGGCCGCGTTTTGCGCGGGCACGAGAGCCCATTCATTTGAATGGACTTCCGGGCCCCGGGACACACAGGGAAGAAGTCCCTGCACAGGGACCCACAGGGAAGAAGTCCCTGCACAGGGAAGAAGCCCCTGTGGGTGGATTTTTGTGCGGATCCACGGCGGCACCACCCGCACAGATGTGAACCTAGCCTAAGGCTGGGTTCACACTTGTGCGGTTCGGTATATCGCGTGTGATTCGCACAGCATTCCTGTACAAATTGTGTGCGATGTGATTGGAGCCATACATCCGCACCAAAAACGTGCAGGACCCTTTTTTTGGTTCGCACTAGAATCGGATCGCACGGGTATTCACACCTATGCGATCCGATTCTGCACACCGCACTGCGTTTTGCAGACCGATATCGGGGTGTTGTTGACTTAACATACACACCCGCAGCGGTTTGCATGAACGGGGTGCGATTCTGATGCGGTGCGGAATTCGCACAGAAAACACTGCAAATTCTGCACCTCATCAGTGTGAACCCGGGCTGAAGGGGTAGCCAACTCGTCTGGTACACATATGACTTTTAAAGGCAAGCGAGCAAAAAAAAAAAAAATTTCCCTTTCAAAACCGGCCACCCCGTATAACCTCTGTGGCATGATAGAGAGGCCATTAGTCATTAGAAAAAAAGAAATGTCTATTTCTACGAAACAGAACCACATCGTATAAGCTCAGGCTGAGCGCGGTCACCTCCTAAACACAGGCTGCAGGAGATGAATTTGGCACGGTTTGAAAGGGGTGGAGGTGGAATCTGCCGTCCAGAGGGGAACCAGACCGAATTTTGACTCATGTTTTCCGTGCTGCTTGGAAATGAAATGTTTACATTCATGAAAAGGGCTGGTGGCTGTATGGCAGCTCTCCTGTCCCTGGCAGGACTGGTTTGCAGTGATTTATATACCTGACATCATTGGGACGGGCAGAGAACAAAAATAGGAACTGTTATCATTTCTCTTCCACAATTATTAACTGCCAATCAGATTTTAATAAGAGTGTCCTGGTGTCCCTTTAATAGGGTCTGTGTGCTGGGGGGGCCAGAAGAATGGGCCAATCTGTCACAGCAGTCACATGATCAGGGGCCTGTTCTGCCAGACCAAAAGTTGACTTTGACAGCTTGATCACTGTCAGTGCCAGGACAAGGTCATCTAGAGCCCAGGGCGAACATGCCCCCCCAAGGTGAATGGACATTATGTGTCAGCAAAAATCCCACCCCCCCCCCCCAAAAAAAAAATCGAGCAGTAATCTGTATTCTTACCAACTAATTAGAAATTCCCTCTCCTCTCAATACAAATCTCCCCCTTACTGAAATCCCCCCTCCCAGCAGAAATCTTTACCCCCCATCCCCTCCAGGTCAAATAAATCCTCTCTCTCCCCATATGCCCCAACACAAATCCCCTCCCCCCCAAAAAAAATCTCCCTCCTAGCACAAATCCTCTCCCCCACTCCAAATCCCCCACAGCACAAATTCCCTTCCCCAATCCCCCATCCTAGTTCCCTTCCCCCCCCCCAAAAAAAAATGTCCCCTCATAGCACAAATAGTTTTTTAATCTAATGCTTTACATTGCAGAGGAGAGATGTGGAGTCTTATTGACCCCATATCTCTCCATAAAGAGGACCTGTCACTGCTTATTTCTATCACAAGGTATGTTTGCATTCCTTGTGATAGGAATAAAAGTGATAAAAAAAAAAATTAAAGGGACAGTGTAAAAAAAAGTAATAAAAAAAAAATTTAACGTTCCCCCATCCCCACCATGGTCGCACGCAGTGGTGAACGCATACGTAGGCCAAGCCCACATATGTAAATGGTGTTCAAACCACGCGTGAGGTATCGCCACAAACGTCAGAGCAAGAGCAATAATTCTCCCACTAGATCTCAACTGTAACTTTACACTGCTAACCTGTAGAAATGTTTAAAGCATCACCCATGGAGATTTTTAAGTACCATAGTTTGGCACAATTCCACAAGCATGGCATATGTAGTTTGGTACATTTTAAATCACGACATGTTGGGTATCTATTTACTCGGTGTAACATCATCCTTTATATTTTACAAAAATATTGGGGTATATAATGTGTTTTGTCTTTTTTTTTATTAATTAACGTGTTTTTTTTTCTTTAAATTGCGTTTGAAAAATATATACGTTTTTAAAAACTGTCCATTTCGGTTTCGGTTTTCCGCCAAGTGCATCCTGAATTTTCGGTTTTGGCACCAGAATTTTCATTTCGGTGCACCTCTAGTTTCCTTCCATGCTCCAAAGACATGCTGGTAAGTTAGTTATCTCCTTTCGAAACTGGCTCTAGTATGTGAGGTCGGGGGCCTTAGATTGTAAGCTCCTTTGGTGCAGAGACTGATGTGAATGTACAATATACTGTATATGAAGTGTTTTTTAAATGCCTGTAATAAATAAAGATGGTGCACTAATATGTATTCTGCCTGTATTGTGAATCTGGCTTTTTGACAATCTGCGTTGGTGACCTAATGGATCTCAGAGGCTTTCATCTAGATGGTCTGTATGCTCTCATGTTGGGTGTAATATAGAAGACGACGGAACATCTCAGCTAATGATGTCAGTCCTAGAAGTGATCTGTGGTCACGTTCAGGACTGATTATGGTGACTGGTGGTGTGAGTGAAGCAATTTGTCAAGGGCCGTGTCATTGCAATGCCCCCCTTGAAGAGTTGGGGGTGGGGGTGCAGGATGAATAATGCTTTATAAGAACACATTGTCTGACTGGCGGGGTCTCAGCAGTGGAGTTTCCTGAGATAAATACATTCAGATCTGGCCTCCTGAGACGTGGCACCGTCAGCATACAATCCGCACGCTCAGTGATCCTCCCGTCCTTCCATATTATACCATTCAGTGTTACACTTCACCCCCAGACACCAATCACATTATATTCATCACATGATCACAGAGCCGGATTCAGGATTTACAACCATCGTTTATAGGCTGGGACCAGAAAATAGGAAAAAAAACCAGAGACACACTATATGGCCAAAAGTATTGGTCGGCCGGCCTTTCCACACACATGAACTTTAATGGCCCCCAGTCTTAGTCCGTAGGGTTCAATACTGAGGCCCACCCTTTGCAGCTATAACAGCTTCAACTCTTCTGCGAAGGCCGTCCACAAGGTTTAGGAGGGTGTCTATGGGAAGGTTGGACCATTCTTCCAGAAGCACATTTGTGAGGTCAGGCACTGATGTTGGACGAGAAGGCCTGGCTCACAGTCTCCGCTCTAATTCATCCCAAAGGTGTTCTATCAGGTTGAGGTCAGGACTCTGTGCAGGCCAGTCAAGTTCCTCCACCCCAAACTGGCTCCTCCATGTCTTTATGGACCTTGCTTTGTGCACTGGTACGCAGTCATGTTGGAACAGGAAGGGGCCATCCCCAAACAGTTCCAACAAAGTTGGGAGCATGAAAATTGTCCGAAATGTCCTGATATGCTAATGCCCTAAAAGTTCCCTTCACTGGAACTAGGGGGCAAAGCCCAACCCCTGAAAAACAACCCCACACCATAATCCCCCCTCCACCAAACTTTATACTTGGCACAATGCAGTCAGGCAAGTACTGTTCTCCTGGCAACTGCCAAACCCAGACACATCCATCGGATTGCCAGACAGAGAAGCGTGATTGGTCACTCCAGAAATCACTCCTCACATCTCTAGAGTCCAGTGGTGGCGTGCTTTACACCACTGCATCCAACGTTTATATTGCACTTGGTGATGTAAGGCTTGGATGCAGCTGCTCGGTCATGGAAACCCATTCCATGAAGCTCTCTACACACTGCTCTTATGCTAATCTGAAGGCCACACCAAGTTTGGAGGTCTTTAGCTATTGACTCTGCAGACAGTTGGCGACTTCTAGGGATCCAGCGCTCCTTTCCTGAATCAGAGCAAGCCCCAGGCCTCTCCTATTAGCGGTGACATGACATTTCTCCAGCTCCCGCTGTTTGTACATGTAAGTACAGTATCAATACTCCTTCCTGTGCCCCTCAACATCAATTGTTTGCTTGTAGCATCAACACGGGATGAACGCCAGTGGAAAAAAATGTTATCCAGGACACGTAGCTATGTAAATAATAGATCTTTCTAGTGAAAGTGCTTACACCTTCCTCCGGCAGCCCGGGAAGCAGTCTTGGCAGTTGGTTGGACAGAAGCAGCTGAGTCTCTCTGTCTGTTATGGCTATGGAGGACAATGGTGGGCTTATCCCCCCGGACCCTGCATTCACTATATCTGGTCTCCCCGGACCCTGCATTCACTATATCCGGTCTCCCCGGAACCTGCATTCACTATATCCGGTCTCCCCGGACCCTGCATTCACTATATCCGGTCTCCCCGGACCCTGCATTCACTATATCTGGTCTCCCTGGGCCCTGCATTCACTATATCCGGTCTCCCCGGACCCTGCATTCACTATATCTGGTCTCCCCCGGACCCTGCATTCACTATATCTGGTCTCCCAGGACCCCACATTCACTATATCTGGTCTCCCCGGACCCTGCATTCACTATATCCGCTCTCCCCGGACCCTGCATTCACTATATCTGGTCTCCCCGGACCCTGCATTCACTATATCCGGTCTCCCCGGACCCTGCATTCACTATATCTGGTCTCCCAGGACCCCACATTCACTATATCTGCTCTCCACGGACCCTGCATTCACTATATCTGCTCTCCCCGGACCCTGCATTCACTATATCTGGTCTCCCCGGACCCTGCATTCACTATATCCGGTCTCCCCGTACCCTACATTCACTATATCTGGTCTCCCCGGACCCTGCATTCACTATATCTGGTCTCCCCGGACCCTGCATTCACTATATCCGGTCTCCCCGGACCCTGCATTCACTATATCCGGTCTCCCCGTACCCTACATTCACTATATCTGATCTCCCCGGACCCCGGACTCTGCAATCACTATATCTGCTCTTCCTGGACCCTGCATTCACTATATCTGATCTCTCACAGTACACACAACATGGAAATGCAATTATTTTAGTAAATATAAACTGCTAGATACCTTTTTTCATCAGCAGTATATAGCAGTCTTGTGACTTCTATAGCAGAACACTGGTTAAAGCTTGTAAGAGGAGTTGTTATAATTATTATTATTATACAGGATTTATATGGCGCCAACAGTTTGCTCAGCGCTTTACAATATAAAGGGAGACAATACAGCAACTATACAGTTCAATACAAGAGGGTTAGGAGCAGGGGCGAACTGACCATTTGGAAACTTGGGCACTGCCCGAGGGCCCGGGGACAGTAGGGGGCCCCATGACATGCCAAAACCACATGCATTGCACATGGTTGCATGGCATTTGTGGCGATTTCCCATTCACTTGCATGGGTCATGTTTGGTGGATCGCTTTTCAGAGGCAAGTGATAGGCAGAGAGGAGGTAATGTGACACCCAGGGGCGGACTGACTATTTGGAAACTCGGGCACTGCTCGAGGGCACGGGATCAGTAGGGGGCCCAATGAGATGCCCCCGGTACCTTTTTCATAGGCGTTTTTGAGTTTAGGCAAGGACACAGGGGCCCCATGATCCCCTATTGCCCGGGATCCCCATGAGTTGTCAGTCCACCCCTGGTTAGGAGGGCCCTGCTCCTTGAGTTTTCATTTTGCTCTGACTGTCCTATGAGGCTGGATGCAGGACCTCTGACCTCTGTCTGGACAGCACTTATTGGTCTCTAGCAATACACACCAAACTGACTATGTGCAGAGTGACCAGGGGCGGACTGACCATTTGGAAACTCGGGCACTGCCCGAGGGCCCGGGGTCAGTAGGGGGCCCCAAAAGATGCCCCTGGTACCTTTTTTCATAGGCTTTTTTGAGTTTGGGCAAGGACACAGGGGCCCCATGATCCCCTATTGCCCGGGGGCCCCATGAGTTGTCAGTCCGCCCCTGAGAGTGACTCCACATGATATGTCTTATCAAAAGAGAAGGGGAGAATCAGAGAAGTCAGGATCAAACAGCATTTTTACACAATGCAGAGGATTAACCCCTTAGGTTCCACAGTGAGTATAACAAGCATGATTTGCTGCATATACAGACTGATTGTACTGTTGTGGGTCTAGTAACACAACAGCATTATATGATATGATATATGATACAACAGCATTATTTAATATGCTATATTATATTATATGCATTACATGGTCTTCAAGAGATTAACATAACAAAAACTGTCTACGGATTCCTGCACAAGGTCTGCTGTGAGCTGGGCTCTGCAAATCTGGCATTTTGCAACAGTTCTATTTACTGGATGCCAACAGCACGCAATAAGATTTGGAAGAAAACATAAATTGCATTGCAGGCAGAAAATGTGCTTGAAATGTTGCAAAAAAAAAAAAAAATTAAAGGACTTCCAATATTTACAATATCACTGCAATATTGTTTTACTGGCCCTTTTTACTTTTTTGGATTTTTTTTGTGTGTGAGCCGTACCTGAGATCCACCATGAGATGGCACTGTTACTCCCACCTACACTGGATGGCTTCTTGTGAGTTATGAAGCAAAGTAGAACCTTTTTAGAACAGAAGCCGTCTGCATGTCTCACTTCCATCCCAAACATATAAAGGGCTCCTGATGGTATGATAGTGGGCAGGGCCACCTGAAACATTCCTTTGCACCTCTGGGTCATCATAATGTTGTAGAGGTATTTATTCAAAATTGCACTGGGTCCCCGATCCTGCTCCAATGGGCTTTTACTTACTTTAACCACCCTAGCGGTCTGATTATGTCTATATTTCTGTGCTCAAAGTGGTAAATTTTTTTGCATGGAAATATGTATTTTTTTTATTGTAGGTCTGTAATTTTTAGGAATAACTCATTGAAATCTGTCCGAACAAGAGTCTAGTAAACATCACGGGGATGTTAAAATTTGAAACACGAAATCATAAATTAGAATTTAATAAATAATCATTAAAAATAATAATAATATAATAATAATAAATGTAATTCAATAATGTAATCAAACCAAAAACAATGAAATTTGAAATAGTTCGCCATCACTGAGCAAAGTCGCAAAATCGTTTTCATTGTCTGATGACAAATTTCCCCCACAAATCATTATCACTTAATTCTGCAAGTGGTTCTGATTTACTATCGCTGTTCTCTAGCTGATCTAAAACCGCTTTTGACCTAAAGGGACGCTTTTTGGACGCCATGGATGTTTCTCAGTTTCAAGGCAGAAAGAACAGTAAAAATGCAGGCAGGGCACAGGACAAAGCACTCGGGACAAAATGTATGTGAAATGGTTTGATACAGGAATGTTTTACTATGTGATTTTACTGTATTTAGTGAATGTCTTTTTTTCACATTTTTAAATTTCCCGCCGTTCCGACGTCGCAGGGAACGGAACCCAGAAGACAGATGCCGGAATCGGCTGGAGGACATTGCCGGGGACACTGCAGGAGGGACATCGCGGGAGTGAAGGACAAGGTAAGGGAAGAAGGGATCCCGGAGCAGCGCTGCAGGGTATTCCCGAGTGTCGCTCAGGGTTACTGCTTGTGGTGCTGAAACTTTACCCCGAGCTACACTCGGGAATGCCTCCAGGGAGGTTAATAATATGTAAACCCAACCTTTTCATATTCCTGATATGTGCATGCTGTACCATGTACTTGTATGAAGAAGTATCCTGTCCTCTTTGTATTGCTTCCTTTGTGTGAAATCCCTGGTGTTCCAGCCAGTCTCTCCACTTTCCTATTAAAAACTGACCACAACAGGCATGAGAACACAGTGTAGTCAGTTCTCTAGCTGTGCTGACAACTCAGCCTGCTCTCCTCCAGTGATCAGACTTCTGCTCACATACCCCCCTTGCACAGCCATTCCCTGGGAAGACCAGTGTTCCGTTGCCCCCCCCCCCCCCCCCCCGCTCTCTGAGCTCCTTATTCATCTGAGAACAGAGGGTATGTGATTACTTATAATAAAAGGAAAAAAAGGTATTTTTTATGTTTTTATATGTATACACAAATGTGTTACCTTAGATTTTTATTTTTGAGCTGTTTTACATATACTTTAACCCCTTGGTGCCGGCGCCTCCCGGTCCTTTAAGGGTTTCAGAAGCCGGGAGGCGGGGCGGGGTTGTAGGGTCATGTGACCACCGTGATTCGCTGTCACAGCGGTCATATGATCGGGAAAGGTCCCGATCAAAGAGATTGGGACCTTTCCATGAGTACCAGACATGTGTGCTGGGCGCACTCTTAGCACATATGTTTTTCTTAATTGCACACAAATGTGCGACCGCTCGATGTCAAGGCCCAGGCGCGGGAGGCCGCACATTTGCGTGCGGCCAGCGCCAAGAGGTTAAGGTGGAGTACCACACACACTGTAAAAAAATAAAACTCAAGTTTTAAAAAACAGCTACTTACCTGTCCCTCGGTCCCGCAGTGTCCTCCATGCAACCCGTTTCACCGGCCGTCCTGTGTTCCAGATGCCGGGATCTTCAGTGTGGGCACACAGCTGTGACAGCTTGCGGCTTCACAGCCGGGTACCCACTGCGCATGCGCGAGTAGCGCTGCGCTTCATGAATGGCCCCGTAGTCTTCTGGGACCTGTCACATGTCCCATAAGACTATGGGGAGGGAGGGTAGGAGGACAACATCCGCTTCCATTCGTCTAGGCGATCGCAGCAGAAGTGGGAGTGGGTACCTGTCAAATTCGGGTACCCGCTCCACCCCCACTCCCCAAAGGTGCCAGTCCTTAGTGAGGAGCGGGGGACCAGTCTTTAAAGCGGAACTTCCCCTTTTGGGTGGAACTCCGCTTTAAGGTGGATTTTGTGTTCCTATACAAGTCTATGGGAATGCAACAACTGCAAGAAGCAGACTAAGGAGGTCTAATACACCCGTCAATAAACTCTGAATGATCTCAGATTCCTTTTGAAACTAATGTCAAGCTAAGGCCATCAACACAAGCCCAGGCAATTGACACAGGTCCTAAAGCTGTTCAAGGCTTGTTGGCTATCATCAGCGTCGGGTATGAAAAGCATGGCTATTGTGGAGAAGGGCTTGAGGAATGAGTTAAATGACTATCCTAGAAACAAAAAAAAAAAAGTTCTCCTCCATGTCTCTGCACTACCATCAGCAGACACAGGGCTGGCATGGCAGGAGCCACCAGGGAGTTGGCAGGGAGACCAGTGAATATCCATTCACTGATCTCCTCTACCTAGTAAGAACCCAGAAGCAAAGTGTCAAATGTCACTTCTGTGTCCGGCTGTCACTTTCCCTGACCATTGTGACCGAGGAAGAAGGCAATGGATCTGTTCCTCCAGAAGACCTCTGATGTCCTATTAAAGAGAACCTGTCACAAAAAGTATCACAGGACTTTATGTATCCTATGAGATAAAAAAAAAAAAAGTTTAGTAAAACCCAAAAGCAAACATTTACTATATTGCAGCTTACCAATTCTTAGATGTGATGGCTGCATTAGTTTTCTTTTTTTTTTGGTTTTCTTTTCTTTATTTTCATCTGGTGATCTGGCCTGTGAGTCTGTTGTTTTTCAAAAGAACCAGCTGTCCTGCAGTTACAGGGACAAACCATTTATAAATGACAGGGGTGCTTACAATGATCAGCTTTTATTTATTTATGTAAAACTTTTATCCAAAGAGGAAAAAAAATGTTTGCTGTAATTGCTTTTAAAGTCTAATGCAGGCCATAGATGGGTTGAAAACCGGACGTTTTTTTTAAAAAAAAAACGAAAAATCAGTCGTTCAATAGGCCCACGTTACCACCAACAGTAATAAAAATCGGCCGATTTTCGTCCCGTCTACGGCCG